GATTCCCTAGCCAGCCACGGCTGGCTGGGGAATCCTGGGAGTTGAAGTCCACGCATCTGAAAGCTGCCAAGGTTGAGAAACTCTGATCTAGTATATAGTGTGTGGGGTGCTTTATACCATCTCTAGGTCCTGAAGACATATGTCCTCTGGTGCGTGAAGTGCCTTTATGCTAGCTGTGGCCCGACATAGAGAGATAGCTTTGCTATAGTAATCAATGGCTTGATGATTTCTTGATTAGGTTAACTCAATGCGTGCAATACCATAACAAGGATAGTGACTGGAATTGGACAGTCAGTTTTATATGACTATCTCTGAGTTCCCTCAATAGAAACGGCTGATATTAACTTATCAAGCACTTTTTTTTTTTACAGAGGAGATATTACAAAGCACCTGGGACCATAGCTTTTGGAGGAACACCACTTTCTGTACCTAATGCGCATCTTCCGTCAGGTGGCCTCTCATGCTACCTGGGAGCACACCTTTGTAGTAGTAGCCCCTCCCTCTGGCATGCCTCCCCAAGGGCTCTTTAAATAGTAATAGATCCATGTAAACAAAAAAATTATTTTATTTATAAAAATTACATTAATTTCAAATATATATGCTGCATAGAGGATTTTAGGTACTGTAGTTGCTGCTTTTATTTATTGTGCATGTTTATTATTTTATCTTATTGCACATTTATTATTAAATTTTTTATATTGTGCATTCGATACATTGAGATTCTGTCATCTGTATCGTGATGCAAAACTCTTTCCTGCCATTATATTTCCTGCCTATTATATTTCAATGTATTTCTCAAAACTGGGAAAGTTCATTTCTCTAGGGTGGCAGGAAAAAATGCTATAATAATGTCATTATTGTCATGAAGTGTGAAGCTAGGATTAGTAAACAAAATCAAGCAGTTCCAATTTTCAATTTCTTCCTAACAATAAATGCCATGTATATTTATTTGTAGTAAATTTAGTTACAATGCATCATTAAAAAGAGTACTTTATTCCAAATGCAAATGTGCCACATAAAATACATAATCATTCATATACACACACGCACACACACACACACACACACATATATATACAAACAAACAAACTCTGAAGAAACTCTTCCCCCCTCCCCATTGAAAGCTCTTGGAAATGAAAATCATAGCTGGATTACTTTCAGCATGACATGGAAAACTACATATCCCATGAAGCTTTGCAGCTGTAGTTTGTCCTTTGTTTGCACCAATAACAGCAGGCTTATTCAGGGGTGTAACTTCAGAGTCTCCCGTGACATCTGCTCTGTATATAAAGCCAATTGTAGCTGAGCTTTAGCATCACTATTATATCGGTGGATTCTCGTGTAAATATTTTAAATAAACCTTGGCTGTTTAGGCTTCCTGTTTCTTAGTACTGAGAAAGCAGAAATTGTAAAAAAAATGGATGCAATATTCAGCTGCAAGCTGGAGGATATGGAAGATTATTATAGCTTGCTGGGATGTGATGAATTATCTACAGTAAGAGAAGTTTTAAATTTATATATTCTCCCTTCCCACTTTGTCAGTGAGTTGAGTTTGATCTGTGTATGTAAGAAGAGTGTTGACTTTTTCCTTTTTTCTATAATGTTCTCAGTCCTGTATTTATTCTAGTAATCAGTTTAGTCTTTTTTTTTTAGCCATCTTCTGTAACACTGATGGAAAAGTTTATCCTGAATTCTGCATTGTTTAAATATATTAGCTGAATCTGTGTGTCATGTAAATATGAAGCAGACTTCAAGGAAAACACAGAGGCTTCTAGAAAGCTATTCATAACACACGGTAAAAGGATGTTGTTTCAAAAGTAACTCTTACGTTGCTTAATAGGATTTACACTGGGTAAGGCGGCATCAGATTAATTATCTGCTACAGTGAATCTTACGTGTGAGGTAAATTGTGGAATGTTGACAAATCTTTTAGACTTCTGAGAATGTCTAAAATCTTGGATATACTACAAAATGTTCACAGTCATTTATATGTGATAATCACCCTTCAGTGCTGGAGCCAACAAGGCAGGGCTCTGTCCTGCTGAAAGCTGATGTTCACAAAATTTGACAGCAATTGTAAAATTTGTCAGTGACAGTTAGCATTCTTCCAATGAAATATTAATGATCAGGGCCTGTGGCATGTTTTTAAAAAACAGTTCCTTTTTAGGATGTAACAGAAGAGCTTTTCTTTACTGTATATCAAGTCCTACCATTGATCCTGTAAGTCTTGGTGACTAGCCACGACTTTTGGAATTTCAGACTGTGGTTGCCAAAGACTGAACCCAAAATGTAGCAGGTGTTCGACCACTGACCAATGACCCTTTTTTCTGTGGTCACTTTCCCTTTGCCACTTATTGGAGATGGAAATACCTGTTTTTGAACTAACGATGTAATCGCTTGCAGTGAAAGTATGTGATTTTTGGAGTGGAGCAGTACTTAGTAACATTTATGTTGTAAAATTTCTTGTTGCATGTACTTGTCCAGTATTCATTTAATTCGTTTAATGATCCTGTAAACACTGAAACTTCAGTAAATGTTGCTGACTGAAGTGGTTGCTAAGAAGAATATAATTTTAGCTACTCTAGTAAAAAATGTTTCTCAGTTGACATAAGAAAAAAGCAACCAGGTGCTATGAAACATTTTGACTATCAAAAATGTGTGCTCTCAACTGTGAATTTTAAATTAAGGTTTTTAGATTCCCTGCCCCGATCATGGTGTGGCCAAAAAAATCTCTTACTGATTTTAAGTATGGCTTCAGCTGATTATTTTAATTTGTACCAAGAGTCCATTAATAATTGGGGAGGTGTCAGTTTGTTTCTTGTAAGGTGTAAAAAAATATTTCAAATTTTTGCTAAATTCATTTATTTTCCCAAGGGGAGTATAAATAGTAATTGATTTGGCCAGGAGGAATGTTAAACTAAACTACCTGTTGAACTAGCTTAGTTTCAACAATTATAAGATCCCAGAAACTAATCAAAGATCTAATTTTGAAATTAGATTAATTTACACAAGAGTATAATCAGATTTTGCATGAGATGAAAATGTGGAAATTTCATGATAATCATGATACAGTGTGATTCTGCTATTTTCAGTATGACAATTTAAAATTTAGAGTAAAACTAATCAAATTTAATGGAGGAGATTTTGACACATTTTGGATTCATATTTTTTGTACTATGTTTAAGTGATGATCTGCTACTTCATGTCCTATTTTAGCAGCACATTTTTATTGGGAATTCTGATCTTCACTCAGACCTTTGAGTTAAAATGAAGAGTGTGATGATTCTAAGCTAAGCTCCATATTTTACTAGGTATTGAGAATTTTAGCTCTGGTCTTTAGCATAGAAATAATTATTTTAGTCCTCCCCAACTTAATGCTCCCTAGTCTGTTGAGATTAGGGCTTTGGGGACTTTACCTGTACATCTGAAGAGAACCACATTGGGGAATACTGGGTTGCTGAATATGTGAAATCTGCGAGGGAAAGAAAAAGAAAAATCATGTAGATAAATAATAGTTGCATCAACATGCATGTTGGGAAACTACTGCCATTTTTCTGATCTTAAACAGATAAATTTCAGTGGTCGGAGAAATCCATCATTTCGCACATCATGGCATGCTAATGTTTTGCTTTCTTGCTTCCCATCACATGCAGTGAGGATGAGGGCAGCTCTTAGAAGGTTTTGAGAAAAAGAAAAACGGTAAAAAGAACTTGGACCCATCTTTCATTTCTAGCCTCTACATTCATGAAGGGTTTTTGCTGTTTTTGCATAGGTTGAACAAATTGTGGCAGAGTTTAAAGTCAGAGCCCTTGAATGTCATCCGGACAAGGTTCCTGGAAACCCCCAAGCTGGTATGTCTTTCTCATTTTCCTTTCTGCACACCATGGTGATTTGGCTGTGGAATCTTTTGGACAAAGCGTTCTCAGTGGCACCCATGAACCAGAAAAAGGGAGTGGTGTTCAAATGTATCATTCCCTTGTCTTGCAGGCTTGGGTATCCTGTGTAAAATAAGGTTAGTCAACTTGTTGGCCTGCTGTTTCTTTGCAAGTGCTCAAATCTTAGATACCTGCTTGGCTGTGACCTAATAATTTGGTCTATTTGTGTTTATGTGGCACATTTCCTTTCCAGTGGTAAGTTGTCATATTGCTTCAGTAGTTATACAGCAGTGAATGTGGAAGGGGAGCATGGTTGCTTCGTTCTCTAGCCCACTTTTTTTGTCAATGTATATTTAATAGGGAGTTATGAAAATTCAGATGCATGAGGGCCTGACTATCTGGGGGATTGTTTCTCTTTTTATGGCACCTTGCCCTTTACTTAAATAAGCAGGTGTTAGCCCTTTGAGGTACACCAGGTCAGGAAACAGACACCACAAGAACTACTGGACTTCTATTGATATGGGGTATAATAGTAGATTCTTGAAAGCCTTACAGTGTTTCTTCTTCCCTCCCTCTTATACTAAAGAGAATCAAGGCAGGACAATCTTGAGTTTCTTTCTCACATGTTCCTGTTTTCCCAGGTTAAATTCATGTTTTAATAATGGTTGCTTCATATTTTCTTCAAGGCCATCTCCATGCTCCTCCTTCAAAGAGGTCCCTTTGAAGATGTTCCTCTTGCCATAAGCTCAGCTATCTGATATGTGGGAGATGGCCTTCTCTTGTGTAGCTTCCAGGGTTTGGAAAGCTCTACCTAGAGAGGTGCACTTGGTCCCCACTCTCCCACAGTTTAGGAAAATGGCAAACATGTCTCTTTTGTCAACCTTTTAAACCTTGATTTTAATATCATGTTTATATTTTGCATTTTAATTGTTTGAACTGGCACTGAGTGCTCATATAAGCACTCAAAACAGGATAGAAATTCAATAAATTCTAAACGCATCACTTCTCTTTGGGGGGAAAAATTGCATATATAGATATCTCATTCCAAATCAAAGTTAGCTAAGTAGCAATCTTGAGAAAGGGGAAAATACTTTTTAACTCATTGTGTTAACATATATTTATTCTTTGAACAATATATATAGCAAAAAACCAAAGCTGAACTTCATGTGTGTGTGGGTGCTGCTTGGGTTATGGCTGTTGCTCATAGGATAAACTGTGGTGGAATCTTCTTAATTTTTCCATGTTTTTTTTTATATGAATCTGGGAATGATTCAAACATGGAGTGGGAATCTCCTTGCTGATCCCTTCCTTGAGGCTCTGGGTAGAGGATCTAATCAAGATGACTAGGGGACATGACCCTGGTTCTCTGCTGCTTAGTTACAGATTAATGCTGGGCTACAAATGTAGCCGAAGGTCCCTTCCCCATTTGCACTTAACTGCAGCACAAATGTGGCTTGGTCTTCATCTAATCCTCAGGCTGCAAATGTGAGGGGCTTAAGCCCTCCTTAACTATACCAGCACTCTTGTCCAGAAACAGCCTCAGGCATATGCACCCATTTCCTTGGAGGGAAGTTAGGGGACTAGCATGGTTGGAAACAGAGCCAACAGAGCAAAGATCAGCAACAGAGACAGCACATTTCCTGTCGGTATAGTTTTCAGCTGATTAAAGGATGGCTGGAGAGCACTTGAGCTATACTGGTGTGATTTTGTTGGCATTACCTAGCCCAGTGTTTCTCAACCTTGGCAACTCTAAGATGTGTGGACTTCAACTCCCAGAATGGGAGGCTGGCTGGGGAATTCTGGGAGTTGAAGTCCACACATCTTAGAGTTGCCAAGGTTGGGACTTCAACTCCCAGAATGGGAGGCTGGCTGGGGAATTCTGGGAGTTGAAGTCCACACATCTTAGAGTTGCCAAGGTTGGGACTTCAACTCCCAGAATGGGAGGCTGGCTGGGGAATTCTGGGAGTTGAAGTCCACACATCTTAGAGTTGCCAAGGTTGAGAAACACTGACTTAGCCCCTAAATGGTGATATATGCAAAGGAATTCCTCTCATCGCTTGTGTATAACACAAAAACTTGGGAACGGGGCCATTTTCAGCAGCGAAAAGCCACTGAAGCTGTTACATGCCTGCTGTCAATCTGATCCCAAGCGAACCACACGTCACCACACAATAGAGAGCCCACCCTGCCCGTTAACCACAATGAATCTCTCTCAAAGTGATTCCTCCTTTTAAAAAACAATTGTGTTGTTTCTCCATTAACACAAATCAACATGGAATGTGTAGATAAATAAAACGGGAGCTAGGGACAAAATTGCATATTAATTAAAACTGAATAGTGCGTCCTCAAAAAAGAAATCAAACGATCCATGATTCCTGGGTGCATATGTGTATGTCACATAATTTGCGTCACACAAAAAAAAAACCTACCACCTTCCTTTTGTCTATGTTGCTTCCTGTGGAAGAGTTATCAGGCTGCAAAATGGTCAGAAGCAATTTAATTGAAAAAGCAATCTCTACAATGTTTGTATTTGTCAGCCCCGTTAGCATTTGAATTTCATGTATTTCTAAACAAATATCCGTTTTAGTAAACCTGCATAAATGAAGGATTGTTATCACTGCCACAGAAGAGAAAGGTGACTCACAGCTAAAATATACATTTTCATAATCTTTAGAGATGCTATTTCTGTTACCAGCAGGAGGGTAAGGAAGATTTAAATCCCCTGGAGAGAAAAAATTACCATAATGCAAACCAGCAGATGGATGATCTGTTGGTAGATGTGAGAGATACCACTTAAGGACTAGAGGAGGACATCTGGGCGATCTCCAGTTGTGTTAGGCCACAAATCCCTGAGGTCTTCTCCAGCCAACATTGGAGATGTTTCTGCTGAACCACATGATGATTCTTTAGCCGTTGCAGTGTTTCTCTGGGAATTAACTTTTTCTTTCCCATGATCTCACATGGACACTGCAGGTTTTGTTTTGGGGAGGGCTTTTTTTCAGCCATTTGAAATTCACCTATTCTGTCCTCACCCATTGAGTTTTTCTGGCTTGGACTACAAGGAAGTCCAGGCATTGTTTTCCTAAATAATGAAGGGAGGGAGGGATTTGATATGCAGTATGTTGATTATGCGCACGCTGAGTTTTTTTCTCCCATCTCCCTGCCAGGTGCTTTTGCCACAATAACTGGTAAGAAAACCTAAGATAGTCTTGCGAATCTGAACTGAGTGTCCTCCTTTATAGCTTTTTTCCCCCTATTCTTAAATTAAAAGTTTACACTGTGTGTTAATCAACACAAGCTTTCCGTTAGCCTCTACTCAAGACAGACCTATTATTAGAGGTGGTTACATCAGAGAGCAGAATTGGAGAGGTGGCTACAGATGTTAATGGAGAAACCTGTGAGCCACACTCTCAGGGAAAGTGAAGGCTCTTGTCACCTTGCTGGGGTAAAAACAATCAACTTCCACTCAAATTGTTTATTTAAATATTAATGAGAGGGGTTTTGTTTTGTCCTTCACCTCAGGCGGAAAATTGTCATGGGTGGATCTTGCCTGGGATCTTGCAATATCTCTTTGCAGGCTATTTTCCAACGAGTCCTCTTAGGCCTCCTGCTATGGCTGTGATACTCTGCAGTGAGTTTTATTGCATCGTCAATATGCAGAGAGTTTTGCTGCAGGCTCAGAAGCTGTGTATTTAAGACAACAGAAGGAGGGCTGTCATCCTGCTTTCTATCTTGCATACACCTTAGTTTTCATCCACCAGAGGCTTGTTGTCCAGATCTGAGTAATGATAATAAAAACATCTGTTGGCTAAAATAGACAGTTGGATAAGAATGTGTATACACGCATATACTTCATAGAGGATATGACCGGTGTTTCTCAACTTTGACAACTTGAAGATGTATGGACTTCAACTCCCAAAATTCCCCCCCCCCCCCTCTGCCGGCTTGGGTGTCTTGGCTGGTTCGGTCTCCCCTCCTCCCCTGTTTTTCTTGTACGGAAAAAAACATATTT